ACGACCCGACTTACCGCTATTACAATTTTGGTTGTAAATTAGCTTGTAGTTGGAACTTATTATTTGGTGGACTCGGCATCCGTCAGTTAGCATAGATTTTACGGGCGTTTGTTACGTTTGAAGAGTTTTGGATTGATGTTTGTTCTATTTGTGAGTAGATATGCACGAAGGATTAGAAGCTCGAAATCTGGCCTAGATCTTACTCGAACCCCACTTGAAAAAGTGGTTCAAGGCAGGACTCAAAACCTAATCAGGCTGACATTATGGGACAAGTTTGTCTCGGAAAATCTCGATTAAGCATTGAAAATCTCCATTAAGCTCGAAAAAGTCTGATATTGCCTTTTTTTTCAACCTTGAAGCTTGACTGAGCTTAAAAACCTCAAACCTTTTTTTCTCTCACTGAAAAATAGATTTGAAAGGCCTGAAACCAAGCATGAAAAATCCCGAGCCTTGTTGTCTGATTTATATGGGGTTTTAATAGCTTCATAGAAGTTAGGATTTTGGTTCCCGTATACACCTAGGGTCTATTTGGTTTACAGAATTACTTTTTAGGGATTTGGATTTTATGGAGGGATTTGAATTAGAATGAATTTGAAATCGTTGGTGTGTTTGGTTTGTAGAATTTGAAATGAAATTGGATTTCGTTATTTATAAATAATTTATAAATTAAATTATGAATAATTTATAATTATAAAAATAATTAAATTACATCTTTATTAATCGATTATTACAAACAAATGTTTTTAATATTTTTAAAACCTTATTTCCTACAATTCTAAGAAATATCGTGAAATCCCAAGCATCCCTAATTAAGGGATTTCAAAATTTTATATTTGTAGGATCTCAAATTAAATCATAGAATTTCAAATCCGGACAATCTAACAAATCAAACATGAGATTAGAATAGATTCGAAATCCAAATCCATTATATTTCTGCAAACTAGACGAGACCTTATTGGCTTTAGTTCAAAAATTCGAGATATAAATAAAAACAATAAAAATGGATGAAGGATTAAAAGTGGATAAATTTCAAAGTATATGGACTAAAATTGTAAAATTGTTTTCTTGTTACCAGCTCGGACAACTTAGCGCAGAAGCAAATTCACGTTGTGAAGTCTTCTGCATCTTTGAAACTTCCACTCAATCGATTTCTCCGATCAAAGATCCGTCACCGGAGTAGCAAAATATGCCTCCACCGCCGTCTCCAAATTCTTCAATGGCACAGTATACTCAACAATTTCTCAGCTCCGTCCTCTCCCAACGGGGCCCATCTTCCCTTCCATATTCCGAAGACGTCAAGTGGTACATCCGTCAACACCTCCTGTCGCTCTCCGAATCTTACCCCTCTCTCCAGCCCAAAACCGCCACGTTTACCCACAACGACGGACGCTCCGTCCACCTTCTGCAGTCCGATGGCACAGTTCCGATGGTGTTTCAAAATGTAACTTACAACATACCCGTTGTTATCTGGCTCATGGAGACGTACCCTCGTCATGCTCCTTTCGTCTTCGTGAATCCTACTCGCGATATGGTGATCAAACGCCAACATCGGTTTGTTAATCCATCTGGTTTGGTCTCCATCCCTTATTTGCAAAATTGGCTTTACCCTAGTTCTAATTTGGTTGATTTAGCTCGTGATTTGAGTAATTATTTCGGTAGCGATCCACCGTTATACTCGCAACGCAGACCAAACTCTAATCCAAACCCTAACCCTAACCCTAACCCTAACGCTAGTTTCAATACATCTGGATCGTCGGGCTCAATTTCATCCGGGTCTATTCGACCAGCCATCCCACCCCGGTCGTACCCCCCATCACCGTATGTCACCAGTAACGGGAGGATTCCATCGCCGGCGCCGCCTCAGAGGATGGGGTCCGGATCCTCCGAAGACCCAAGTGAGGTTTATAAACGGAATGCTATAAATAAGCTGGTGGAGAATGTGCATAATGATGTTGGGCAATTGAGGAAGACCAGGGAGGCGGAAATGGAAGGGATGTTTAGTGCTCAGGCGGTCTTACGACAGAGGGAGGAGGAGCTTTCAAAAGGGTTAAGAGGTATGCAAGAAGAGAAGGAGGATTTGGAGCAGCAATTACAGATGATTTTGATGAATACAGATGTGTTAGAAGGCTGGGTAAGAGAGAATGAGGCAAAATTGGGTGGAGATTTGTCAAATGTGAATGTCGATGATGCGATTTTGCCATCTGATTCACTTTCTAAGCAGATGCTAGAGTGTACAGCATCTGATCTTGCCATAGAAGATGTTGTTTATGCACTAGATAAAGCTGTGCAAGAAGGGTCTATACCGTTTGATCTGTACTTAAGGAATGTGAGATTACTATCCCGTGAACAATTCTTTCACCGTGCAACTTCTGGGAAAGTCAGAATGATACAGATGCAAGCTCAAGTTACAAGCATGGCTTCCCGGGCACCACCATATGGTGGATGATGGTGCTTTTCTGCCTTCGAGTTGGGGGTATGTGCCATTAATCCTTTAAAAGATAGTTTATGAATTATTCTTGTTTTCTTACTATTACTTGTGTATGTCGATTGTTTACTTGTGTAATCATGAATTTCTATTCTTTTTGACATCTTATGATTCATTATATTGATATGTATTTATAGCGAAACATAGAAGAAAGAACAAACGAGTCCAATATTTCAATGTTTCTATATACTATGCCATTGATAGTTATTACTTTCTACATTTTGGGGTTTCAAGCATCTCCAATCATGGTTCTCACATTTAAATTGACTAGAATGTTTTGCTTGGCTTTTGCCCATGTTCATGTTGCGTGCACTTCAACTGGTCCCGTGGAACCCAAAAGTTAATAGCCAAGAAAATCTTCAGTGGCCTAAGTACATTCGAAGTGGTGATGAACGCAGAGCAAACCCTATACCTACCAATTTAGTTACCCCAGTTAGTTGATTGTCGAACTTCTATTACAATTGTAATGTATTCCATCAAACAAACTATACTATTGCAATACATAAACGACATCAAATTTATATGTTAGAATAGTAGAACCTAACAAAAGGTACAACCTTTAAATGCAAAAGATTAAGCGAACAATTGTTTTAGGCTTCCCCATTTAAATATCAATTGAACGAAGTCATAGGTGGCACGCCAATGAATGATAATATAGCTTTGTCGATGATCTGTTTGAATTCAAGGTTACACAACACTCCAAAGAACAACAAGAAGTCCTAAACCAGTTATCAGCTCCAATTAAAAGATGACATTTCTTGAAGAAACTGAATGCATTTGTACAAGATGATTGCATGTTGTACTAAAACAAACTCGCAACTTTGTTTGAAATGGCAAAAATGATTAGTAAGGGAGAAAATTTGATATTATAGGTCTGATATGTGCAAGTATATGTGATCTTAATATGGCAGACATGATATGCATATGTGGTTGGGATGTTAAGACTTGCCACAGCCTGCATCAATGGCTTTCTGTCTCAAATATGTCTTGCTTGATTTGGTTAGGATACCTAAGGTCACAGAGACAAGGATAATGAAATAGGTAAACTAGATGTTACTGCAACAATTAATTAAAATTAGAACATAGAAATATATCTTTGTGTGTGACATTGTGTACATGAAATTGATGACATATTTCATGTTGTGTAATCCATGGAATTGTTCATAGGCACTTCTTTGTTAGCAACAACAACATCGATAATATAACTAAAGAGATTATACGAACAGAAACACACGTCATAGGCGACGGATGTAATCTCATAACATCCCTTAGGACCATCTTCATTTTCAGCTTCATCCTTGGTGATATAATTCCTTGTGGTACTTTGAATAACCAGTGATGCAATCCAGAGGGGTTAGTGTATGCAATATAAAACTAAAAGAGGAGTTGATATAGAGACTATGGATCTTGGTTCACCACAACCTTGCTTCAATTTCGTGGGTGGTGTTTATTGCTGTTTCTGTTATTCATATGTGAATCAATTAAATAATTTATATGTAAATCAAACGGGTTTACACGTTCATGTATTAGAATTTGTTTGCTACTTATTTATAAAAGTTACGAAACTACCCATTTATCTTCCGCATAGTTGTTGCTATACGACCGATGTTGTATGATCAACCTCTCAAATCTTGACCATTAATTTTTTAGTGGAAGGATTAGAATCAATTATTTACTTCTCATACATTTAACACTTGTCATCCGCAAAAGTAGAAAACCAACCATCACCTAAGGCTTAAAATGCAATTGGTTTTGTTGCTCCCTGATCAAGATTTTGATGTTTTTGGTAAACATAGAAACAGCATTTCATATTATGTTTGAAAGTCTTTGCATTGATAATTTGTAACTTGTGCTTCTTCAGTTGTAATTAAGACATTTTAAAAAATTAATTAGGATGAAAAGTGCATAACTTCCAAAGTATGTAAGACTAGAATGATAAAATTGTTTCCTTGTTACCGGTCCAGACAACTTGGGTCATATGTTATGTGGTAAACTAGCCAATAAATTAGATGAAAAATGTAAATGATCAAAAAATACATTTTGAAAAATTAGTCAATTATGATGTTTCATGATATAGTTGAAATAAATTTTTAATAATATGATATGTTAATTAATACAAACAAAATGATAAAGAAAAAATTAAATAATATAATATATTAATTAAAAGAATTTCAAATTAATTATTATAATATTTGGACTTGTTAAAACAAATTTTAGAAAAATTCTATTATTTATGCTTTTAAATAACCATTACATGTGAATAAAAATAAAATTGGTCAACCTCACATATCATAATTAATTAATAATTTTCAAAAAAATATTATTAGTAATAAAATTAAATAGTTTATTTTAAAATAAGCTCAAAAACTAAGGGGTTGTTTACCTAAATGCTTACCCGGTAAGTGGTTATTGTTAGGAGTCAACACTATGATTTGTTTTACTAGGTAAGGTTGTAGTACATCAAAATGTATTTCATGCAACAATTTTCCTGGTAAGTGCTTACCCGGGTAAGAGTCGTCACCCTCACTTACCGGGTAAGACTTTCCATCCTTATCCTCGTTCTTACCGGGTAAGATTCTTGACCCTTGTCATGTTCATCCGGTGAGAAAAATTACCCGATAAATACTTACCGAATAAAACATTTAGTAAACGACCCCTAAGTTAACTTATGTCTTACAAACATAGCTTAACGTAGAAGCAAATTGAGTTTGTATATAAGGTCTTCTACATCTTTAAAAACTTCCACTTAACCAATTCCGAGTCATTTTTTTCTATTATTTGTTGGACCTTATAAATTTTGTTTGATGATCAATTTTGTTTTGATTTCTTATCTTCTAGAACTTTCTTTTATTATTTTGTTTAATTTTTTTAATTAATCATACAAAACTAATTACTTTTACCTAGGGGTGTAAATGATCTGAGTCAAGCTCGAGTATCACTATACTCGATTCAAACTCGAAACTTAATTTCCAAGCTCGAACTCGACTCGAAAACTCGTGAGTAGTAAAAATCAAAGCTCGACTCGAACTCGATAGCTATTTCTCAAGTTCGAACTCGAATCAAGCTGAAATCAGGCTCAAACTTGAGCTCGAAATAAGTTCGAACTGCAACTCAAATCAAGCTTGAACTTGAACTTGAACTCGAATCAAGCTCACCCATTGAAATTTATGAAATTTTAGGGCATTTCTCTTATAAATTTTAGGGCCTTAAAGGTGTTATCTTAGTTTTTATAAAACTAAAATGATCAACTTCAAACTTTATCATCAAAGAGACAAAATTAGAAATTTCATTCACCATTTTTAATTTTTTATAATATCTTTTCTCCCTTTCTTTATCATATTTCTTTCAATGCGAGACAATTTCACTAATTTTTTTTTAATTGTGATTTTAATAAAAAATAATTGATTAATTTTTATAATTAAAAAATGCATGATTTTGTTTAAATATCTAAAATCATAAGACATTTTTATTATTTATATTTTACAAATTTTATCATAAAAAATAATATATTTTAAAACTAATTATATATAAAATAATCGAGTACCTCACGAGCTTTTCGAATCGAGTATTGGGTAGTTTGACTCGACTCGTTAATATGTCGAGTCGAATGTTCACCGAGTCGATTTCAAGTATCTCACGAGTTTTCTCATATCGTTTACACCCCTGGTATGATTTGAAGCAATCAAGAACAACATCCTCCACGCACCTCCACTCCCACCACATCTCTTCATGAATCTCCGTCCAAACGTTTTTATATGGTTTCAATTTGCAAGTTTTGACTTCCAAATACATATCGGGGCTTGACTTAGTGCTGTTTGGTAATGGTTTAATGGATTGTATGACATGAATAACTTATTTGGTAAGCTATACATCCATGTCCGAAAATGGCTTAATGGGTAAGAAAATGGCTTATTAACTCGACCAATAGAACGCTATCATATGCATTCAGCCAAAAAAAAATTACATTCTTACCCTTTTGTGTAACACACACAAATCAAACAAAAAGGTACAAATCATGCTCTCTCTCTCTCATGTCTCATTTCTATCAAACAAGCTATTCTCTTGTTCTCCCACTAGATCCCTCAAAACAGTTTCCTAGTTTGCCGGTGATTGATCTCGTTCTCTCTCGTCACTCCGTTCTCCGGCGTTCTTGTTTTCTCCTGGCACTCTCCGGCTATTCCTGCTTGCTTGTCCACCTCTCAATCTCTCCATCATGTCTTCTCAATCTCTTAGACTGGATCTTCCACTTTGGATCCAAAATGTGCTTATATGTTTTTTTTTCTTTCTCTGCTTCTTGTTTCTTAAGAATTATAATATGGAGGGGAAGAAACAAGAAGATTACCTCTCCTACAATAGCTATTAGTGGTTGGCAATGGAGATGTCGGAACAAAGGCAGAGGAGGAGGATAACTACACAGGCATTGCTTCCTCCAGTTTTTATTTGCTTTGTTTATCTGAATCTAAGAGTTGGTAACATTTGTATTTGGGTTTGGGTTTGGGTTACAAATCTTGTAAATGGGTTTTGGTTACAGACTACTTGTAATTTGGGATTATTCAAAAACAAAAGGCAACGTGTATATATATATTCAAATGAAATATATCTTACCTCAAATTGGTCGTTGGTTTTGATAAAACTCGATGAAACTCTTAATGCACATCTTCTGTTCTTTTATTTCCTTTGAATGTCTCAAGTAAATTGTATAGTTTGAATGTAGCTGGTGGATATCTTGTATCGGTTTATGTGTGCATACAAGGTGTATGATGAAATGTTTGAAAGAAATGTAGTTCTGGAGGAGTTGTGATTGTATCACTCAATTTATATCATGATATTAGATCAAATTGTTTTTATTTAAAAGAACTCTTAAATTGACATTTTTTTAATCATTTAAAGTCAAATATTCAACATTTTTATCAAACAAATGTTTTAATTGTGTTTAATATAGATTCGGGGTAAAATGGTCATTTTTGACATTTAAACTATTTATTCAGCACAACAATCGAACAATAACTTCTATGTTATCATGTAGACGACTTTATTAATATAGACAACTTTACACATACAAGTCTTAAGGGATGTTCAGTTCAATTTCTATTAAGACATGTATGGATAAAGTTTTCTGTATGATAACAGATAAGTTGTTCGGTTTGTTGTGCTGACTAAACAGTCTGAATGTCAAAAATGATCATTTTACCCCTAGTCTATATTTTTATTGAATCAAA